ATTTTGTATAATAAGAATGCATGTATGCCACATTTTATTTATCACAGAGGCAATATTCTACCTTTATTGTGTGGTAGCAATGCTTTACACAATTTTAACTTTTCATCATCGATTTGATCACTATAATAAGGATGCCTTTTTCAAAGTATATCTCCATCAATATGTAACCACCATATTGAGAGATACTAAATGAGATTAATATAGATTTCAAAATTTAAAATATAAATTCCCCATATGAAAAATATTATTATAAAATCATATCCATTCATAGATGCATTTTTGAATCTCATCTTCTCATTGGAAATGAATTTTTATTGACGAAGCTTGATTTCAAAGAATACTCCTTTTAATTCACACTCCTCACATTGGGATATGTATTTAATTTCTCCGGTGTTTGAGATACATTTCTTCAATATTCTCAAACTGGATATAATATATCCAAGTTTAAAATTGTGTGTACAAACATCACAAGTGCATATCCATAATATTAGTTTTCACAAAAATATGTTTTTGCACCTTTTCCCTTCTCATTGGGTAAATCTTGGAATAAATCCAACAAGCACATAAATTACTTGGATATACAAAAGATATGTTACCGATATTAATTCATGTCAAATCTAAGAATCCTCAAATCCATTGCCAATTTATTTTGCAAATCTTTTTATTTCACAACCATATTTATAACCATGATCATAATATAATGTCACATTCTCTTTTAGGAATGGAATCAAACCATTAGTTGTGATTGATGATTTTTCATCAATTCGTAGTTTTGTTGGCAATATAAAGACATGTATTTGAATATACATGTTAAAATTACCCTCTTGAGATTGCCACTTTTAGAGCATATTGAGGCATATAAAGAAGAATATATCTTCTCTTATATGTTTTCATCAATAATAATTTTTCTCAGTGTCACGCCCCAAAACCCAAATCCGAGGGCGTAACAGATGCCGTACATTTGTGAGACGGGTCCTACAAGTGCACAAGGCTCGGAACTTATTCAACAAAATCAGTTTTGATACCATAAAATTTTCAATTAAAATCTAACTTACAAGAGCATGGTATATATATCTAGAATCCATGTCAAATCTCAAGTGACTAGCCTTCTACCACGTCATTCCCCTTGATTTCCGAGTCTTGGATCACACTACCTGAAATGGTGGCAAGGAAAAATGAGGTGAGATAACTTAGTAAATAAAATATGGATAGCCCGTAATTAAACTCATAGCATGCCAACAAGTGTAATCAGAAAAACGGATACAATACGGGAATGAAATAGACGTCTTCTCTATAGGTCATGGCCAGTGTTATAAACCTCCCACTGATAGGCACACGATTTACTAGTGTATAATCCCACTAGTAGGATAACAAAAACGAATCGGTTCTATCAGTAACATGTGCTAGCGTTTATAAACCTCCTATTAGCAGGCACATGAATAACATGACCATATCGGAGACAAAACAGGCAAAAGTTAACAGAAAAATTATAATTCACCAATCACTTTTAGATCATCAAGATAATCAATTAAATTTCAAGTAGGCATGCTCAATTTAATGAAAAGCATAAAAATTTCACTTCAAATCAGTCATGCTTGTGTAAAACGGGTTTAGTTCCGCCACTATTTCAAAACCATCAAAAATTTGCTTTTAAAAGCTTTACCTTAAATCCAGGGCATTACCATAAGTTACTTACCTCACTTCGCATAAAATAGGAAACTCGACCCCAGAGCTCTAAGCCACAACAGCACCTAATATTCCAAATAAACATGTTCAGACCTCGTTAGAATATTAACACAACAGTGTAATTTATGTCAATCTCTCATGACCGAACACCTTTAATTTTATTCTCATATAAAACTAAGCATTTCATCCTCTTTGTTGTTGCCGGCAAAACCCCAAAAATGCAATATTCATTTATTTATTTATTCTTTTCTTCTTTCCGAATTTTAGCATTAATCCGGATTGGGTATACATATATATATACCAATTAAATACACACACATTTACATATATTTATAGCTTCCCAAACTCACGGGCAAACAATGGGGAGCATGGCTTTTATTCACTTTCCATCTTTGGCAAAACTGCCACTAACACACGGGATATTCTACTCCAAATAATTAAAACTCAATGTATGAACAGCACGTGTGAACAGTGCGCGTGAACAGTGCGCGTGAACAGTAGCTGATATTTCCATAATTCAATTATAGCAAACTAAAATACCAGAAAAAAAGATATTTCACCAGATTTTCAGAGCAGAACAGACTGAAAAAGAAAGGAAAAACAGTAGCAAAATGCAGAAAAACGCAGCAGCAATTTGCAGAATTTTCTGCCTGACAGTAGCTGTGCGTGAACAGTAGTTGCTCGTGAACAGTAAAATTTGCAAAACAGCAGGATTTTCCACACAGAACAGCAGCTAATTTTAAGCCAAAAACAGGTTTATTTCTACATGAATTAAGCTAAAAAAAACACGTTTAAAAAGCTGCCAAATTCTTCCATATTTCGGCAGAAATTTGAACAATACAGGGGCAACAATTACAAGGATAATTTCAGCAATTAAATGGGTGAAATTGAACTTAAAGGAAGCTGTCCATCATACCAGAAAATTTCGACAAGCTGAAACCGGAGCTGGCAGTGTGGAGGGCTGGCGAGAATTGGAGAGAACACACACAAAATTGAAGGAAAAAAAAAAGGAAATTAGAGTAACCCAACTTGAATCAAGGCTAAAGAGAGGGATTCATGGCTGAATCTTACTAGAGAAATGCCCAGAAATTCGTACCTAGCAGCAACGGCGGACAGGGGAGGAAGAGCAGAGCAGATCTGGAAATTCCTACTTCAAAGGGAGGGTTCTAGGTCCTAAAATCAGTTCTTTAACAAGAAAAGGAAGGGAAAAATCAAGCTTGTTACCAATTTTCTCAAGAAATAGAAGTCGGTGGCTTGGGGGGGAGCTTGTCGGGCTGCACGAAGAAGAAGAGCAGAGCAGAAACGTGTATGGCTGGGAAGAGAAGGAATAAAAATATCAGCTGATCCTTATCCTAATTTCCTTTCTTTTTAGTCTCTGAACTTTGAAAATTTTTGCTATTACATTCTTTAATGATATTTCTTCACAATTAGGTCACTAACTCACACTTTAATGCTCTAGAAATTTTGCGGTATTACACTCAACATCAGATAATTCAAAATATTTGTGAATTCATATTCAAGTAATAAATAGATCCATTTATAGCTAGCTTGGTGGAAGAATTGTAATTTTCTTTTGATGATCATCTTTCTTCCAAACAATTCCATTATTCCAATAAATCATGCAT